TTAGCCAAATAAATTTCATTCAGTCAGGGTTTACATCTACTTTAGATAGTATGAAAAACATTGGCTAATAAAAGGAAATGCAAATAACAGTATCAGAAGTCATAGTAATAGAGCTTTTACATAGTATTTGAGGTTGAAAAAAGACACGGGTCCATCAAGTCCAACCCACAGCGTGTATACATGTGAATCTGCATGTGTATGAGTGTGGATGAGTCCCTGTGTCATCCTCTTCTTAAGTGTACCTGTACCCCTGTATGTTGCGGTCTCTGAGGAAATCGTCCAAATGCTTTTTGAACGATTCAACACTCTATAGGTGCCCATACACTGCACGATTCTCGTACGAGAATCACGGGAAATCAGTGTATGGAAGGCGTGCGACCGTTCCTACTGTACAGTCGCACGACTTTTGTATTTCAAGCATGTTGGAAAACCAGCCGAGAATCGTACGATTTTCGGCTGGTTTTTAACATGATCGAGAGACAACTGCCGAACGGGCCGGAGTGCGCACGCGCACACTGCCCGTTCAGCATTGCAGTCATTGGAAGCCCGCCCCGATGATCGCAAGTACGATCTGCCTGTCCAAGATCGTATGTTTTTTTAATTACTTTACAACCCTCGCAAGACAAAAGTTTTGCGAGGGTTGTATAGTGTATGGGCACCTTTAGCTGAAATCACTGCTTGAGGCAGCGAGTTCCATACCCTGACCGCTCTAACTGAGAAGAAGCCCCTACGCCCCTCGTGATTAAATTTTAGTTTTAAGTGGTGGCCTCTAGTCTTTGTTATGGAGGTTACTGTAAAGAGTTTATGGCTGATGTTGCTAATTCCATTGAACATTTTGTACAAGAAAATCATGTCCCCCCTTAATCTCCTCACTTCCAGCATGAACTTGTTTAAATTTAGTAACCTTGTCTCATAGCTTTGGTCCTCCAGCCCCTTAATTAGTTTGGTTGCCCTCCTCTGGACTCCCTCCAGTTCAAGGACATCCCTTCTGCGGATTGGTGACCAGAACTGGACCGCATACTCCAGATGAGGCCAAACCAGCGATCTATAAAGTGGCAAAATTATAGATGTGTCTCTGCAGTACATCCCCTTTTTAATACAAGACAGAACTCTGCTCGCTTTGTTTACTGCGACCTGGCATTGCAATCTATTATTCAACTTGTGGTCTACAATGACCCCCAAATCTTTTTCCATTTGTGACTTCCCTAGTGGAGTTCCCATTAATGTGTAATCCGCTCGCCTATTTTTAACCCCAAAGTGCATAACTTTAAATTTGTCAACATTGAACCTCATCCGCCATATAGTTGCCCACTCCCTGACTTTATCCAGGTCCCCCTGTAATGTTATAATGTCTAGGTCCGTGTCTATTACACGATTTTGGTGTCATCAGCAAACACGGAAACATGACTATTTACTCCCTCCCCGATATCATTAATAAACAGGTTGAATAGCGGGCGGCCCAGCACAGATGCCTGGGGCACATGGCTCATGACCCCAGACCAATATGAAAAGGAGCCATTAGTTGATACTCTCTGCTCCCGATCTTGTAGCCAGTTCTCTATCCATGTACACACCATTCCATCTATGCCCATAGATCTCAACTTGTGTAGTAAGCCTTTATGTGGTACTATATCAAATGCTTTAGAAAAATCCAGATATACCACATCCACCGACTTCCCTCCATCCAGATCTCTACTCATCTCTTCATAGAATGTTAGTAGGTTGGTCTGGCAGGAACGGTCTTTCCTAAATCCGTGCTGATCATCATTTATGATGCCATTATCCTGAACAAACTCTACTAAGTAGTCCTTAATCATTCCCTCTAACAGTTTGCATACTATGGATGTAAGACTGACTGGTCTGTAGTTCCCAGGTTGGCATCTTGACCCCTTTTTGAATACTACCGTAGCCCTCCGCCAGTCACTTGGCACTACACCAGTCATTATGGAGTCCTTAAAAATGAGTAATAACGGTCTCGCTATAACCTGGCTGAGTTCCTTAAGTACCTTGGGGTGTAGATTATCTGGTCCTAATGCTTTATTTGCATTACGTTTTTCAAGTCTATGTTGAACCCCGGCCTCCGTCAACCACTGTGGTGTATTTTGCGATTGGCTAAGTGAATTCTTATCTATATTAAACCCGCCTTTTTCCTGTGTGTATACTGAGGAGAAAAAAGTATTCAACACCTCGGCCCGCTCCCTGTCGTTTGTGATTAGATTACCGTTTACATCCTTTATTGGGCCTATCTGCTCCTTTCTTACCCTTATACTGTTTATGTATTGGTAGAATTTTTTGGGGTTCCTCTTACTGACTGTGGCAATATGCTTTTCGCACTCTATTTTAGCTGCCCGAATTACACGTTTACATCTTTTGTTACATTCTTTGTATTTCTGGAAAGCCAATGGCGTCCCCTCCGACTTATATTTTCTAAATGCCACTCTCTTCTCCTTGATGTTTTGCTTTACAGTTTTATCTAGCCATGCAGGCTTAGTTTTTTATCTTTTAATTTTATTACCCAATGTTATATACCTGGCAATAGCATTATGTAGTGTATTTTTAAAAAACTCCCACTTCTGGTCAGTGTTCAGTGTGTGGAATAAATTGCCCCATTCGATGTCGCGTACTATCGGACGCAGCTTAACGAAGTTTGCCTTTCTGAAGTTTAGAGTTCTTGTCCGACCAGACCACTTTTCTTTCCTGTACCCAACATTGAAAGTAATCACATTGTGATCACTATTACCCAGTGTCTCCCCAATTGCAATATCTTCAACTAAATCCGCACTATTGGAAATTATTAAATCTAGGATGGCATTTTTTTCTAGTTGGAACCTCAACTATCTGATCCATGAAGTTGTCCCGCAATAGGTTCAGAAAACGTCCCGCCTTTGATGAATGGGAGGTTCCATTAGCCCAATTAATGCCCGGATAATTGAAGTCGCCAATCACGACAACATTACCCTGCTTCCCAGCTATTTCTATTTGGTAGTGTAGGTGAGTCTCTTCCTCCTCCCCTGTATTCGGAGGTCTGTAGCACATACCCACAATTAATTTACAGCTATCATCTGTCCTATCTAGTTCTAGCCACAAGGGTTCCACTCCGTCACCATCCACTGCCATGATATTGTCCAGTATGTGAATACAAGAACAAGAAGGTATTTTCTTAAAATCATTGGAACCCCACATCTTGTGTTCACAGATTACAGGGATAGGAAAGCTAAAATGGTTTCCAGTAAACTTCAACTGATTTTTTTATATTTATTCATTTTTAAACTTATGTTTTCCAGTGAGACCGGGTGACACCCCATCATGACGTCATCGCGCATGCGCAGTCATCTTATTGACGCCTGCCGGTGGCCATCTTGGTGATGGACGCCACCAGAGAGAGGATGGGACGTTCACACGGTGGGATGAGGTATGCCGCCGGGGCCCCTCCTCTTTCCTGACACTGTCGGGCTCTCGGCCCCAACTTTTCAGAGGGGGTGACACCAAAATGTCTGCCGCACCCCCCTTGTGACGCCACTGATTCTGTGTTTTAACACATTTTCTTTTTTTGTTGAAGCTCCGTGGTGCATGCATCGTAAAACAAACCCCTGTGAACAAAAAAGTGAACAAAAAGTCCTCATTCAAAAAAGAGGTCCACGATATCCCTGACCCCCCCCCCCCCCCCCAGGCCACAAGGCTC